TCTCTTTTTAAAAGAAAAAATTTATATAGTAGAAGTTAATAATTTTTGTAAAACTTATCTCTTCTGTACTCTGTAAAGAGTTCTTGAACTTGTTTTTATAAGTTGTTTAGTTATAAAGATAGTTTCTCTTGATTTTTCTTGTTTTTTTGACTGGTTTCTCCTTTTCTCAAAAAATTATTAAAAAAAATTTTTTTTAAAAAATTTGGGGATTAGTGAAAAGAGTTTTTTTTTTTAATTATGTTTTATTATATTTTTTTTTACAAGTTTTATAAATTTTTAAATAATAAATAAATAGTTATTGAATTTTTAATGAAGGATTAAAAAACTTTTAATGAATAGTTATTAAATTTTTAATAAATAGTTAATAAATTTTTAATAAATAGTTAATAAATTTTTAATGAATAGTTTTGATGAATAGTTGTTGAATATTAATAAACCATCAATGAATTTTTGATGAATTATTAATAAATTAATGTCACATTTTTATTGAATTGCTAATAAATAATTTTGCAATAAACTTTTAATGAATTTTTGCTGAATAGTTAATTAATTATTTGACAAATTGTTAATGAATTTTTTGATAATTTATTGTTAAATTTTTAATTGATAAATTTTTGGTTGTTGAATTTTTTGATTGCCAAATTTTTATAGTCACATTATTGTCAAAATAGTAATATATTGAGTGACAACAATTGAAAAGAATTTGACAATAATTCAACTGCCAAATAACAAAATTTTGATTAGTGTATGAATGAATATACAGTAGAATTACTATTCACAATAAGTTGAAATATAATATATAATTTATTTACTTTTTTTTAAATATATTTATATATTTTAAAATATTTCTTTGTTTTTTTTTAAATCTATTTTTATATAATTTCTATTATTCCATAATTTAATAAAATAATCAACAATGATAAATTTGCAAAAAAAAAGAAATATTATAAAAAAGTCAAGAAAAAAAATCTTTTTTATATATAAAAATCAAACAATTATTAAATGAAGTAAATAACTCGCAAGTCAATTTGAAGTTTTAAAATTTAAATTGGTCCAATTAAAATTTTCGAAATTTTGTTTTATGTGATCGATGAATAACAGATTTGACTGTTACTGTATTTTAACAAATAAATAAACTTGATCTTGGTATACAGCACAGTGTATGTACAGTATGTGCATGTGTGTATACTAATAATCTACCAGATTAACTAGCATATTGTTGATTTTGCATCTGGTTAACTAAATTTTATGTTTTAACATAGAAACTTTTTGTACTCACAATCGTAATGCAGTCAAGTCCGACTTTCATTAAAAGTCCTATGGGAAGTGGAAAAAAATATACAGTATTGTTTACTGTAAAGTAGCATTAAAAAAGGAAAACTCAAATTCAATATATTTATAGTAGATACAGCATATTATAATAAATAAATCCGATTATAGGCAAGAAAATCGAAAAAAAAAGAACTAATTATAATAAAAAAGATAAATATCTATCATGACGATCGAAATAAACAAATCTTTTCTTTTTACGGCACATTTCGGATGACAACATGTTATCGAGTTCTTTCAAACCAGAGAATATCAGAGTTCTCATTTTAACAGTAACAACTAACCTGTCTATTCATCTCACGTGGAAGAATTGAATAATTTGAATTGGATTTTAAGGTCGCATGATTTGGGAATGAAATGTGAAACTATTGAGAATCGTGCATTTTCTACGCCGCGTGTGTGAATGGAATTCTTCCCGAGTAATAATGGTGGGAGAGGGAACGCACGCATATTTCTGGGTGCCACCAAAGCCGCGATTACGTAATAAACACAAAAAAGGGACACAATCAAATTTCAAAAGAACGCTCGCAAAGTAAAGTCACGAACGGATCGATTCATTGGTTCTCGTGGAAATGGCATTTTCACACTCAAAAGTATATCGAAATACGGTATACGCTAATCCGGAAATTTAACTGGTGTTTGTTTATGCCGAGCGTCGGAAAACCAATGAAAGATGAATGCAATGCATGGAAAAGAAAAAACGCACAGAAAGATTTTCGTAAATAAACCGATATAATAAAGAAATGCGTGACACACGATTACCATAATGAAGGAACAATAGAGGATAAGAAAAACGTGGAAACTTGATTGTTTATCGAGATCAGGTTGAAACGGCACTCCCATTCATTCATCGACAAGGTTGGTTTGGTTGGTTCACAAAAGTGGGGTTGCGGAGTCGTCTTTGTAAACTTTACAAGCGCGCATGTACAGTATGCACGACCGTTACGTATGCACGCAACTTCTCACAAGATGAAAATGGATCACTTCATTCATAGGCTCGAGGGAACTTTGGAAATTGGTAAAGCCAATTATCATCTGTTATTATTACTATTTACATCATATATACGCATGCGCATATATGATGTATAAATTTAAAGTAATACAGGGAAATTTTTTTTTGCTAAAAAGACAAACAATAAAGCAATAGGGTAAATAAATAGTTGAATTACGTACGTCATTCTATAGTAATCGCAAATCCAATACATTGGAAGTAAAAATAGATTTATACACATATAGTAGTGGTCAAATGTGGTCATTGTACGTATTGTATGTATTTTTTTAGATTCTTTATAAGATGGATCTGAAAACTTTCCGTAAATTTGTGATTCGAACCGGACATAGTACAGATCGTGTGGTGTGTGGGGAAAGGTTTCTGTACGCTGACGGTTCTTAGATTATCAAATACATAATTAGTTTCATTAATGGCGCATTATTAGCACGGGCCATTTTTTTTTTAAAAAAAAAAAATCAGCGGAAAGAAATAATGACGTGTCAAGACATCCTGAGCATTATTTAAACATAGGTTAATTAATTGTTGGTTACACACACGGTCATGGCAAGATTAACCAACATCTATCAACGTCACCTTAAGGCTTTGGATTAGCCGAATAGAATCCACAACACCACACGATCGATGAGTCATCGGAAATGGAAGGAACACGTTCCTTTGTGCACCTCTGTTAATCTATGTACGTGTGTGTGCGTACGTAGTGGGAAGGGTGGGTGCATGCAGATGTAGATGTGTGGTGAGGTGCATCATTATTATTTGATCCTTTCGTGCGGTGATAACTCAAAATTTTTTTTCATATAAGCGGTGACACTGCAGTAATTAACTCTTTTGGCGTACGGACATCTCCGTCATATATATGCCCACGTGACAAATAATGGTGTGGTGGCGTATTGTGACACGCAGAGAAGCCCGAATTCCAAATTCGGCGCCGACGTAATCACGTGTTCGGAAATTTCATTAGTCATTTGTGTCATTGGCTGTTTGTTTGTTCGTGGTGTAGTTTGGCGTTCGGATTGACGCCTTTGAAAGGTTGCAATGTTTATTGCCAGTCAAAGTTGACATCAAACCGAAGAGATCGATGTCGTGTTGTTGTTTGAAAGAGAAGTTGATTGATTTACAAATCCAACCTGACCAACAATATGTGAATGACTCGATTATTACTGGTGAATAAACCTGATTATCGCCGGTTGATACATAAATAACTTTGCATGCATATTCCGATGACATCAAAAGGAAAAGATTGTTTAATACGAGAGACGAATGATTATCTAAATTATCCCCATCGGGCGTGCCGAACAAGAATAAAACAACAAAGCTAGCTGGAATCCATAAATTATTATTACCCCACATCAAAAAAAAAAAAAAAACACAAAGCGGCATTGAGGACGGGAATGTCGTCGTTCAAGAAAAAAAAAAAAATTACACCTCACGAAAACAACAACAATAACAAAAAAAAAATGGCGCATACAATCGGTGAGGTGACGTACAGTACCAAGTTTTTATATGCCAAAGATTTATTCGATTGACGCCATGTTAATTAATGATTTGTGTAACTTGCTAACGAAAGCGGGGTGCATATAACATAATATGTGCCAAATTTACATATTCTGATTCCTGATAACGCTCGGTTGCAATGTGAGATGGTTGATATTGTCCATGCCCTGCCCTCAAATGCGTATTACTTGGTCATTCGCATATACAAGGGCGTAGGCCGATGGAGCGAATGAAATTCCCCACGAGTAATTACTGCGAAGGGAGGAACACATTTTCATAAAATTCCATTTCGGATAAGCTGTTACAACAGGTATTTACGAGAGTGCGTACCTCCTAATAAGGTTCCTTAACCAGTTCCATATCAGGAGGACGTTGATACGTACGAACGGACGCGTGTAACGCAGGATTGCCTTAACGATGCGATGTGCACTTTTTTGTTGGAAATATCGATATCGCAAATATGACCAGGTAAATATTTATTTATAGCAGTAATTGGAATTTGATCATTTGGGTTATATTTTGGGGTGTGCAACAGGTAATTAAAAATTATTATTTTTTTTTTTTTTTTTTTTATTTTTTTTTTTTCCTCCTCGATATACCAGATAAGAGGATGAGGAGCGAAACTTTAAACATGTTTCACTATCGAGATCTCAACATCTTCACAATATCGATACATGCACAATTGAACACAAAGCATGAAAAAAAAAAGAAAAAGAAAACAAAACTAATATTGATAACAGAAAGAACGAACCCGCTTCCTTTATTCCCTTAACTCGCTCATTTAATAAAAACCGATATGATATTTAATTGATTGCATGCAAATCTTCCGAGGAGCAGATTTCCCTAGAAGGCAAGAGCACACGCACATATGAGACACATATGTACGATGTATTGGAATTACGCGGATGCATTTCGACGTTTGGTCATCTTGCATCCAGATGCATTAGAGTCGTTCGGGCATTCTAGAAACCCAAGATTCTACGTGCTTTATACGTACATACGTATTCGTACTTGGCAAAGCCAGCATTCGGAAGAAAAATGAGAAAGCAAAGAAGTTCATTTTCTTCTAACGGATCGCATGCAATATGCAATAATTAGACAGTGTCCAATTCGGATGTTGCACACCACATGCGCACAAAAACTTTCCTGAAAAATTGCCATATCAGCGTCATTCCGCTAAACCAAACTCGTTGATAAACTTAGATACGGTTTTTTTTTCCTTTTTTTCCTTCTTTTTTTTTTTTTTTTACCCTCATGCAACGTGTAATCGCCGTCTAATTCGAGCACACTCAAAAAGGCGGTGGACCAGGTGAGTGCCGAGTTGTCGCTTACGTACGCGCAAACTTCTTTGGCCGTGAAACACAGGTTTGGGAAACGTATGTGTTGATATATTATTTGCTTTCGGTTCCGGCATCTCATTTATGGCGTGGGATGCTAAGCTCGGACAAAGACTGAGCAGGAACTATTATATATCACTTAATATAGGTTGGTGACGTATAACACAATGTGTTGTACCGCAATATCAACACTTAACAATAGGAAAGAATAGACTTGGAAATCCGGTTTGTTTGTTGAATCTTATATAATATGCAGTAAGAATCGTCGATCGACAAGAAAGAAAAATTCAAGACGTTATTGTTCCGAACGAGCTATTATTTTTTTTTTACCACTCGTGTATAAATACAATGTGCGTGCGAACATCAATTTCTCAACTGCGTGACGAAGAGAAAAAAATAATAATTGAAATTTCACTCCCGATTGTATTAGATTAGCTTCTGTCAAAAAAATTACCCTGGCATTACTGATAAACACAATGGCAGCATTTGTTCCTTTTTATTTATGTTTGAAACAATGCTCCATTTTTTTTTTTCTAAAAAAAAAAAAAAAAAAGAAAAGAAAAAAAAAAACATTATCGCTCGTGTAACCAGAGCATCATATGCGGAAATTAAAATATTTTTGTTACAGAAAAAAACTTTAAATTACTCTTTGCAAGGTGACACACGCTATTTGCAAATACTATTGAAGGCGCACAAAAATCTATCCTTATTTAGGGACTGCCCTCAGCTATGTATCATTGGTCAAATGTTCATTATAAAAGTACGTCCATTGGTACATTCGTCCTAATCTCGAAGACGTTCCTCTGTACCGCGGTAGTAGCGATCAGACTTTCATTTTCTTGTCTTTTTATTACCTCGTATTATTAGATCAATATAAATATTCTATAAATAAGTATATAAGTAAATAAAAGAATTTTAGATTTTTATATAATAATTATTTTTTTTTTATATTATCATTATACACGTTTGTGTTGTGATTTTTTCTTTGTAGCCCTCTATTGTACACGATTAATACAACATACGTATACACCACACACATAAGCACTTACGATACATACTTACATTACACACACACACACACATATATATATATATATACGTATATACGTGTATATACATATATATAAAGTATTATAAGTGTTTGTTTGTTTGAAGCTGTTCACTCTTGCGCCTGAGAAAAGGAAAAAAAAAAAAACTACACACCTATCGTAGTTATATATCGAACGTCTGACAGTAAATAAACAATTGATTAATAACCTATAAATATCGTATTTGCGATATCGTGAATACGAATTAATTTGGATGGACATTAACAAGAATAACAATAATCTTGCTCGACCGCCCGTTAATCACAATCAACAGCGACAGCCACTAAATTCAGCATCAGCTATTATTCAACATCCACGACAACATTCGTTAAATCTCATGGCCCTTCAGACGCCACCAATTCTCGGCTCCTCGTATAACAATGGCGGCGCCGGGGGTGCCATCACGCCCCCACCTGACCCGGCGAACAACAGGTCTTCAGGGGTTAAACAGATCTCCCCACAGCAAACACCACCCCGACAACCTACCCTGCCTCAGCAGCACCCAAGAATTGCGCCGGCACCTGCTCCTACTTTCGTGAACGTTGCCAACCTGGCCGGAGTTCCCTTAAACATGAATCTCGCACAATGTTGTCCAGTTACATTGCAGCAACAACAGCAATTTATTATCAACGATAATAGCAATGGCATCGGTAACCCAAAGTTGGTACCTCAACCACAGAGTAAGAATCTCAATCATCATCCTTGTGTCACGAATTCTTCTCATCCTGCTACCACCGCCACGAGCAACAACACGGCTGCCGCCTCCAACCTTACCAGCCGTCCCTTGATGCAACCGACAACATCTGAAAGACCCGAGTCCATCGTATTCTTGTTTCAGATCCCTAATGATGCCAAGATATACCTCGTCAAATGTGTCGAGGTTTCACAAATTCTGGACATTGATGTTCGCGGGCATTCCGCTAAACAACCCCAACAAAACATCCGGCATCATTTAGAGCAACATCTCACTCAACGCTTTCAACCTTCTCATCAGCCTCACCCTCATCCTCCGACACACTTGCAATCTCAACAACAACAACAATTTTCGCAACCGCAACAAAACCCTTACCAACTGCAACAAATTCTTCAACTCCATGCCCAACAACAGCAGCTCAGGCATCACCCGTATCAACAACGCCTCTCTCCCAAATCCTCCTTGCATATCGGAAAGAATATCAAAACTTCAGGTTCTTCCATCGCCTGCAACGACAATGGTACCTCCGCCTCCCTCCAGAACCTCGCCGAAAGTGGCAATGGCAACGAAAACAACAACAACATCATAGATCAAACGGCCGATCTGCAACAACTCTCCGTCGAGATGAACCAGAACACCGGTAACTTCGACATCATGCTGCCGATGACCGCGGGTACAGCCCCCGGTGCATACATGGTCACACCATCAGCCACTCCGACAATGAGAAATGATCAGCTGATCCCGGATTTTAACGTTGCCACAAACTACTTGGTACAACAGCAGATGCTCGCAAACGCGCAACCGCAAAATATGTTCAACGGATTTGACAAAAATGGAGAGGCGAACTGAAGATTTTTGAGAAGGAATGCAGTTTATCAGATCCTCAAATAAAATATCATTGTCTTATGTTATCTTATTTTTTTTTTTCTATTTTACTTTACTTCACGTCTCATGTACCATTTCACCCTTTTCACGTCTAAGCTTTGCTAAGATTTGTATATACGCTTTTAAAATAACATTTACGCATATCTTAATTTCATGCGTATCTCAAACTCTTACGCTCACCCCCAAATTTCCGCACATCTAGACTTCACCGTAAAAAGAAGTTTGATTTTTGGAATTTTGGACTACCTCGTATTAATAACCAATGTCACCAATTAAGAAAATCATTAGAGTTCGAATTTTTATTTTTATTTTTTATTTTTATTGAATTGGGCAAAATCTTTTTTCGTTTTCGTTTTCGTTCCCTATTCTAAACTCAAATTATGCACATCCTAAGATTTCACATATGTATAACAGCATGATGAAAACTTTTTCTCTCCACTCGCGCGTCAAAAAAAAAAAAAAAAAAAAAAAAACCTAAGCAACAGACATTTTTCCTTTTCTTTCGTAGAAATATAAGGGTCTATCTTCTCTCTTCGTCGCAATGAACTTTAAATTCTTTCTGCTTTACTTTTTCTTTTCCTTTTTTTTTTTTTTTTACGTGTGCATTATTTTTTTTATATACATATATTATATTTTGGTGGTTTGAATCGCGTGAGTTTTCTCGTTGTATATTGTTTTCCTTTTCCTTATTTTCCCTTTTTTCAAAAAAGAAAAAAAAACCAAAAAAAAAGAGATAAAAAAAAAAAAAAAAACCCCCAAAAAAAAAAAAAAAAAAAAAAAAAACGTTTTACGGTTACGAACCTCGGTGAAAATATTCACGTATTCGCGGACTAACATTTATGGCAGATCTATAATAGACGAAGGTGTGAACGCTTTCACCGTTTCTTTTTTTTTTTTTTCTTTTTTTTTTTTTGCGGGGATGAGTTTTCACTTGGTCTTTTCGTTCCTTCTCACCCCCAGAAATCAAACCTTTTCGTTAAAACTTGAATACCTACCTTGAAACTTCGTAGCTCAGAAAAATGATAACGAATAAATCAAAAAAAAAAAAAAAAAAAAAGAGGCCTCAAGAAATTCCTTTAGCGCGTCCTATAAAAAACGTTTGTCCATTCATCATTCAACATCATTTGGATTCCCGTACGTCACTGGCGGTCATTATTCAGCTAGCAGGCCTTTGAATCCGAATGGTGGTGGAATGGGTGATAAAGATGTGCTAGGAAAAACTTGGAGAGTTTTTTTCCTTATAAATTTATTAGCCCGCACGAGATAGAATGCATACTCGCGTGGGAATGGTTCGAATATGCATGACACCATTTGAAAATGAGCGAAAACTTTTAATAGGCTGCCCTCAGCAGTGCGAAAAAGAGAAAGATGTTTTGTAGCATGAAAGGAAAAGGTGCATCCGTTGTTTTCCTCATGATTCTTCACAAGGTAAAAGTTGGAATGTTCGCATTGCATTCCTGAAAAAAGCAGCTCGAGAAATATTGTAAAGGAATGAAAGATGAGATGAAAATTGAAACGGTGCATCCGAAATTTTTTTTTTTTTTTAAAAAAAAAAAAACGCCTGCTTCAAAAAAAAGCGGAGAGTCTCGCATCTTATAAATCATCATTCATTTGGCACTTGGAATGTTGACGTGACATATTGATTTTTATTTTCATGTGTGGATGCCGTCTCATGTTTCCGCATTCAGACTACTCCGGAGGAAATTAATTATAGTTGCATGCAAGTCCATATAAATAAAAATGCTCGCTCAAAAAATAATGCAGAATTGGAGTATCAACGGATGGGCCATCGAGATTATCCGACTTCATACTGTAATAATGAGTTTAAATCGGGCATCATTAAAAAACGACATCGTTCTTGCTTTTTCTATAAATTGGGTCGTGAACATTCCGTGATCCGCCTGTCGGGTCTCAAACACTTCATATTCTTTGTTTAAAAGTCAAGTTGCTTTGAAAAAAACTCAAACGGTGATGACAAAAAAGATTCTTTACTCTCCAAGCAAGTTGACTGGTGGCGATGGCAAAGTGTCACGCTATTTTTTTTTATCTCCGGGCATTCCAATTTTAAATGCCAGGGTTTTGACGTATGAATTTTAATTAAGCAATTGCTCGCATGAAAAAATGCCAAATGTGTATTTATTTAAATGATGCGTTTACCGCGCAGAGATTGTGCTTTACTTTGATGGATGAATATTATCATTTAGAAAGTCTTTCCGACATGTAATTATTTCTTGAAAAAAAAAAAAAAAAAAAAAGATAACATCTAATCGAGGTATTATTATTAATTAATTACGTAATTAATGATGATGCAATAAAAGAATAAATTACGTTCTTCTGTGAACAACTTTAAACACCTCGTAATCGGTAATTGAAAAACGTTCGCTAGTTGTCCTAATGGGCATCTCGAATAAACTACTTCCGTTGCACCAGCTTCCTTTATCTTTGGTGAAGTCGGAAGCCTCGGTTCTCATCATGAGATAACAGTTCCCAAAGTATGGGCCATACTTATGTTGCACTATTTCATCACAATAGATCAGAGCCATCTCTTTATCTCCTATGCGACTAATAATGGAATTTGGTATGTTGCCGTTCCTTAATGAGAAAACGAAGCAGTTACTCGTTTGTATGTATCTCTTTTTCGCTTTTTTATCCCAAGCCAAAGGGTTATATCCGCCGAGAATCTCGTCCGTTCCCGCCACTTTTAAGACCACCACCGTATTGGCATGACTGTGGCACATGTTCCAAAACGTCTGCGGGTGGAATCCATCTCTGCTTCCTCTCAAAATCAACTGGAAATTGTATGGAATACTCCTCGGTGAATATGCGGATGCGGTACCCTTACGGTCGATCCAGGAGGTAATTTCGGCGGCATGTTCATCGGTGATGATGGTCGAGAATGGTTCCTTCACGACTATCCTGTTCGGTAATTTTGGAGTTGTGACTATCCTTGCTGGCAAGACGATTGAACTGACCGGTTGACCTGGAGACACCGAATGCTGTTTCAAGTCTTCCCAAAGTTGCGTGTCAAGTATTTTCTGGTAGGACCCGACCTTGCCCAAGATTTCCTCACTCGGAAGCTGAAAATAACGGACGTGTGGTAAACATTGTCGCACGGTGACTTTTAAGGTCTCGAAGTCTTCGTCGATCCATTCTTCTCGTTTCGAAGGTAAACCCGGATTCTGTGCGATGCCCCATTTTATAACGTAATCCCAAATCTTGGATTCCTCCAATTGCAAATCATCCCGCTCAAGGAGGGACACTAACGTCGACTCTTGAATGGTGGTGAAATTCTCCGTGTTGAAAACGAGAGCGGGGTATCTCGCAATGATGTCGTCGCAAAATTTTTTAAGGGTCTTCAGGTTGTTTGTATTATATATTGAATGATGGACGTCGGAAAAATATGTGCGCATCCAAGAGGACTTGGTTTCAACTAGAAGGTGCTCTAATTTAACGGTCAATTCGTCGAGTTCAAACTTATTGGCAGCCACCGTCAGCTCAAAGATGAATCGAGCATTGGCGTCGTCAAGATTTACAATCCCGCCGTAAACATATCTGCACGGAATGTGGTTAATTTTGTAGATGAATTTACATTCGGTCGATCAATGATAATTACTTACTTGAGAATGATGTCAAAAATTTGGAAAGATATGTGAGGTTCGATTAGCGTCTTCACATTATCTTCATTTTTATGAGTATTAACCAGTTCCGCACGAAAATAAGATGATCGATATCGCAACACGTTCGAATGTGCGAGAAACAATTTTTTATTCGGATTCTGGTCGACTTCAATTATTACGTTACAATCCTCTTTGTCATCGAGAAGCCCTGTAAAATCCTGGGACAGCTTGTCGAAAAATCTGAAAGACATTTTTTTTTATTTTGCAAAGTCCTAAGCCTAATTCACTACTTGCGATCGATTGGCGTTTCAAACTCAATTACACAATACCCCCTAGGTACCACCTGCGAATTTGGCCTGCGCTTTTGCCGTAAAAAAGTCAAAACCCGATATTTGAGCTGACGGCATGCACCAGGTGTTATGAAGAATATTTTAATCTTGCTATTGTTTCAAATCCGAATCCGATTAATCCGGGATCGGATTCCGATGACTTCAAAAAAAATTTAGGTCGGATCGAATTTTGATCCGATGGAATCAGTTCGGATTGGAATTTACAGTAAATTGAATAATTCTATTGCCCCAAATCAAGCAGGAATGATATCAATCATTTCAACGTGATATGAAAACAAAGTGTGAAACTATCTGGAAAGCTATGAACTTTGGACTGATGCATTACTCAAGTTTGTTCTAATTTGATGCATTACTCAAGTTTGTTCTAATTGTGGTACCATTTTTACGTGCTAGCATATTAAACTTTCCGAAACTTTTATTTATACAGTATTACTAATTCCATTGTCTAATCCAATCTATAAATTGCACACCTTGAAAATCCAATTAATTATTTTTGACCGCGATCCATTTTGCCAGTTTGAGCAAATTCGTTCATATTCACAAAGGCGCCTAGAATTGCAAAAGTATAAATTCACGCGGCGTCTAAAGTATTGTTGTTTTGACTTTCTTATTTCGCTTTTTCGCCTCCCTTTAACTCCAATAGAAATAGTTTGGCACGCGGGATATTCTTTTCATTTGTTATTTCAAATTGATGAGCAAAGCTATGTCGTAACTTTTGGCTTAGCAAATAAACAGTATATCTTGAATACAATAAATAGTAGGCACGTGTATCCGGCCGGATAACTACGGCGCCATTCGAGTAAGATCCTGGAGCCGGCGTGACGTTTACAAATGGATTTTTACTTAGAATTGTATAATATACAGTATATATACTATATATATATATACAGTATATACAGTATAGCGCGAAAATGCTAAACGTAGGATTGAAAGAATTGACCTCTCGAGTATTTACACGGTGCATCATTTAATTCCCGGATAACGATAAAGTTCTGAATCGATTGCTGAGGAAATAACAAGCGCATTTTTATACCCCAAAGGATTTTTCATATAATGATCAATCGTGATAATTTATTATTTATTGAAAAATCGATGAGAAATACAATTTATCTATTACACATCATAAAACATATCTGTTCTGACTCTCCTCTTGTATTAACCAGAAACATTGATAACGTACACTTTTTTGCAGGCACCTTGTTTAATTTTATTCGCATGATCCTTACTCATCAATTATTGAAGAGGTTCGATAGAAACATCTATCCCGTCGACTTCTCATTGTTGGTGATCCTTCTTTCCGATCCCTCGCCACCTGCTGTCGACATTCTCAGCAGCCGTATCACCTTAACCATCATCAACACCCTTCGGATCTTTTCAACTGTCATCGACACCCTTTTATTAAATTCGGATTTCTCACGTCTGGTTGCTAACTTTGCTCGTCTCGCCGGCGACGGCCATAGTTTTGTGGTAAGTTCGAATGACCAATAACGATATATTAATACTTTCACGAAATCGAGGAAAATGCATATCACTAATGAGATCTTTTGGATTAAAACAGAAATTAACAACAAATGTGGAAACAATTGGGTAGCAACAGCAGCGTCCTTTCGATGAATGCATACCGCCAAGATCACAAACGACGTTGCCCAACCAATCTTCTCGGTTAAAAGTCCAAAAATCGACATAAGCAATGTAATTATCTGGGTGCCAAATAAGGATACTGTGAATATTGGTGACGGCATGTTTTCCCAGAAGTGGCCCGTTAGTCGGGTGGAAAAAATTAAAAAATGCGGGGCGCTGGATAAGTGAAGGAAGATTACTGTTTGCAATTGACCTAATATTAAAGTGTTGGTGAGTAGGCCCGAATGACGCAATCGAGGACCTGAATGAACCGTCATACCTGGATCAACATTAATTACATCCCTGAAAATGAAGAAATGCGCAAAAGTAAACCCTGCCAATATGGTTCCCAGTATTATACTAAGTATAATCAATTGCCCGACACGCCATTTATCTGGTTTCCCGGAAATCTGATTCAATTCGTCAAAGAATTAATAGATATGCGAATTTCACAATGATAATGCGTCGTACGCAAAAGAAAAATCAACATACAAGCGCACCTGAACATTATCAACAGAAATCACTAAAGTCGCTGCATCATTCAATAATGCGATCAAGATCACTAACACCGCTGGCAACCTCCAATCCTCGATTAATATGATGAAAAAGAAGAACAGCAGAAATTGTATGGTCGAGGTGATACGGTATAATGCATAACTTCTCATCCGTTGGAATATAGCTCGTGAGGTCATTATCCCGTCGACAATTGTTGATAGGCCAGATGCTAGTAACACTATATCAGCGGCACTTCGGGCAGCATCTGTGCATCCTTGCACCGCTATGCCAACATTAGCACGTTTTAAGGCCGGTGCATCGTTCACCCCATCTCCCTTTTATCAAAAATAAATAAATGAATAAATAAAATAAAATAAAAACTTCAACGATAAAGGCGACTCAGGTTCCTTTGAAAAAAAAAAAAAAGATGATACGCACCGTCATCCCCACCAAATGACCTTTCTTCTGTAGCAACTCTACCACCTTGTACTTATGTTCGGGTATCACTTGCGCAAACCCGTCGGCTCGTTCACAAGATTCCGTCACCTCTTCTTCCGATCGATCGGAGTCTACTAAATAGTTTGCGTCCAATATTACCCGACTCATTCCGAGTCGACGTGCTACCTCTTTGGCGATGACAACTTGATCGCCAGTAACCATTTTTACGATGACTCCAAATTCTCGGCATCGATTAAGGGTCTCTCCGGAATCTGGCCTTGGGGGGTCCAGTAGACTTATCAGTCCAATCAGATTCCATTGCAAATTTTGACTTTTGGTGTCGTTAAGAGCTTTGTCGGATTCGAGAGGCGACGATTTCGCAACGCCCAATGCCCTCAATCCACGAGAGGCAAAGTCATCCACAGCCTTGGTGGCCTCCTCATCCCCACCTGCAAGTTTAATTATAACCTGCGGGGCACCTTTAACAATTTGAAACTTCTCCCCGGTTTTCAAATTAATCACGGCAGCTCTAGTATATTTGTTCGAAGGATTAAAGGGAACAAACGAGGTAACCTTATAGCCCGGAACTTCGCGATCATTTTCGTTATCCTTTAAGATGTCAAGTTCCGATTCTGCAGCTTTTCTCACGGCGGTTTCTATGGCATCATTGGTATCGGACTCCGAACAAAGGTAGGAATAGAGGAGTAATTCGGAACTGGTGTGATCGTTATATAACCACGGTTCGTCGAACGTAAGATCGTTCAATGTGAGCGTGCCAGTTTTGTCCGTGCACAGGAGGTTAACCGAGGCCAGTTCTTCGACGGCAGTTAAACGTTTGATGATAACTTTCTTGGAGGCTAGTTGCTTTGCTCCCACGGCCATTGTAACCGACAGCACAGTCGGCAATCCGACCTTTCCACGCGACATGAAGTTCAATTATTGAAATGTGAACGCGATTTAAGAATTCAAAAACGTCAATTTATTCAAGAAAGAAAGTAAGCTATTTCTACCGGAATGGCAGCAACTGTCAACACCAGTACTAGTTGCAGAGTACTCAGCACGTCACCTCCTCGATGTTTTATTAATCGACAGACGAAAATGATCAAGACAAGTACGACTGTAATCAAGATTAGAAAGTTTCCAATTTTATTAATAATTTTTTGAAAGTGACCTTGATCCACGGTCATGTTCATCAAGGTTGCTGCTCGACCGATGAAGGTTTTTGCTCCGGCTAAAATTTTAAAAAAAAAAAATTAAGAGACGATCAGATGTACGAAGGGATCAGGCAACACAGGGAATGATTAAACCAATTAACCAACTTTTGCAAACTATTGCCATCATTTGACCTTGCTTAACGATGGTGCTGTGCAGGAAGTAGGGGGGCAACAATTAACAAGACCTTCCTTTTTAAAAAGAGGATTTCATCGTTTACCTTGAATAAACGTAACCGTCTTTATTACGATGCACCGGTAAACTCTCGCCTATAAAATTGCAAATCTCAATGAGATGATTCGATTATTCGGAGGTTAACAGCAAAAAAGTACTCACCCGTCAAAGCCGACTGGTCGATTAGTAAACCGTCGTCCGATTCATTCCCGGTCACCGTGACTCCCAATAACTGAGAATCCGCCGGTACAATATCACCAATTCTCAACACGATCACGTCGCCCGGCACCAATTCCGCCGAATCTAATTGCACCAACTTACCATCCCTCATTACCCGAGACTTCAATGCTAAAGTTTGACGCAGCGCATCCAACGCAGACTCTGCTCTGGATTCTTCGAAGAAACCAATACACGCATTGACAACCAGTAGCGCGAATATGATTCCAAAGTCGACCCAGTCGCGAACAATAGCGGCGACAATGCATGCGATTTCTATCAGATAAGCGATGGGACCTCGGAAGTAGGAGGCGAATTTCATGATAGGATTGCTAGAATTTTTCGGTGATTGGATAAATTTCTTAAAGAAAAAATTGAGCTTGATCACGCTAAGATAATATTTTATATACGAACGTTTTGGTTTCAGAGATCTCATTCCTTCCAAACCTTCCCAACCGTGATTTCGCTTCTTCGGTGGTCAGTCCGGTTCTCGGATCGGTCTTTAGATAGCTCACAAGTGATGGCGGTATTTCATCGTTAAGTTTCACGCTCTCGTCTTCTTTTTTCTTTTCGGATCGACAAAGAATTGCATAAAAAAAAAAAGAATCAAAAATTGCAGTATTTCAATCGCATTCACTTCTCCAAAAACAAATGACAAGGAATCCTTACCGCACTCGAATTCTCTTTCTCGTCCGATCTCCTCTCGGAAGTACCTCTTCCATTTCCTAGCTGAGACATCATACTATTCTTTTCCTGATCCGTTTTACTATTGTTGCCGCCGTTTATGCCACTCTCTGAGTACCCAATGTCTTCGACTTCCTCCTCGGATATATCATCAACCAAATCTTTTTGAGACATGAATTAGTAGGTATTTGACTCGACTTTTTTTTTCTTCTTTTTTTTTTTTTTTTGTGTGGTGGATTTTTTTAAAGAAAAGGTGCTTTTGGTTTTTGATGAGATAATTGATTGAGAAACAGGGTTGTATAAAGCAGCTAAGATACGTAAAAATGAAATCAATCACCAAAGAATGTTCGGGTAGCGAAAGTTATATTATCAACTAGAAAAATAAATAGTAAAGACGCAATGATACATGAGGTACCACTCTTAATTACATAGAGTAATGAAAAAACTCCTAAAGGTGTATTAGATCAAACAATGTAATAATGGTTTTCTTTAATCACCTCCAAAATCATTTCCCAGCTCTTATATATCAATCCCAATTCGCATTCCCCAAGTATTTTAAATATCGACATTGGCCTGTATAATTGACGGCAACGACTCGCTTGTTAATAGATACAAATGTTTGATAATTCTGACGTCAACATCGTTAGTAACTAACCCCTTTGGCCTTAGAGCATTGAAAAGTTTGCCAAGAGTTATCATCGATTGGTGATCTCATCACTTGGCAAAAGTCGTCGTATAATCACCGGGTGGGCGGAGTGAAGTCCAGACACGTGACCGGAATCAAAAAGACTTTTTTTTTCACGCTTTCACATTCAAAGATTGCACTGCTTAGAAGAAAATGATAAAAATATATTTCTCTTTAATTTTCAAAAGAAAGTGAACCTTGAAAATACTGCGACACTTGTTTATCAATGGCATCGAGAAAACGAATTTCCGATGCAGCAATTCGCATAAATACATTAATAAAATCAAACGAATTTCATGGATTTTGCCGTTACTTTATTTTATTATCTTCGTCACATCTCACACAAGCAGATTTATAAATTATATAAAACAGAGTTACACTCGTTTCCTTTTGATTTCAGTGAATGCCGTAATCAAGAAAACAGATGCTATTCAACTATTATGAAATCTACAAATATACAAATATACATATTATATGAATGAGTAAACGAAAATGTGCAATGCACAGTATATTATATTAAATATTGTTTACCTTCTTCAACTTTTGGATGAACTTGTCCAGTAAGAATTTCGATATTACGCTCCAATTCGATCTTGTTTACCTCGAGCTCTTTCACTTTCTCCTTTAAACGTCTGACTTCTTGTACCAAACCTTGTTCTATCTTTTCCGCTAATTCAATGTCCATCTTTGAAGTTTTCTCTTGATCCTTCTTTTCACATCTACTTTT